AGTGGTAGTGGCAGTGGTAGTCGTCGTCGTAGTAGTAGACAGGGTGCGAGGAGCGCTGGCTCTCAAAGCCAGGAGATCTGCGGGAATTGCACTCCCTTGTTTTCGACCGAGCGAGACGGCTTCGACCTCGAATATGCTGTCGTAAACTCGGCATAACGACTATGTGCGTTCGCATGACGGCTCCAGGCTCTTATGCGCCTGGTCCTGAAAAGATGGGAAGCCATGGTGCGACAAGGAGACGTCACAGCATTGCCCCAAGTCGAGTTTGGTCGATCTGCCAGCAACGCGAAAGCCGGGACTATACCATCATACGATATACCATACTATGCTGTATGCCATACTATACTTCACCATACTTCAGTATATACTCTGCTATACTATACTTTGTACCAGACCAGACCAGGCCGTACCGGTATCGTACCAGATCATACCATACCATACCATGCCGTGCCGTGCCGTGCCGTACCATACCGTGCCACACGGTACTGTTATGATATGCTTTGCATCTGTTGCCTGGTTGCACCGTTTGAGTGTAGGCAGGTGTCCACAATGTCACGCAGCTTATGCATACGTGATTTTGTATAAAGTCTATAACTGTAGTACATCATAGTATGGCACCGTATCAAACAGTACGGTATATTCTCGCATAGCATAGTCTATAGCAGTATAGTCTAGTAGTCTTATCCGCACGTCCTTGGCCCACAGGGGACCATGCTAGAAAGGAGCTGAACGTGGAAGCAGAACGGGAAGAACCAGAGCTGCATCCCGCGGCTCTGTCCCCAAGTCCAAAGTTCGCTTGCCACAGACGAACCCACTTTGCCAACGATTGCGCTTCCGAAAGCTTTGGAGATGCACTGTCTCGCGCAAATCTCTGTTGGTAGTCGTCTTCCGTCCTGAACGTTTTCAGTGGAATGGCTTCGCAAGGGAGACTTCTTCCTGAAAGCCCCCTAGCCTTAGAGTTTATCACGGTTTCGGCTTTGCATTTTCCCGCATCGGAGTGTGCCGATCGTCTCGTTGTTGCAAGCACGCAGAACCTTCAGCTGCAAAGCACGCGGCAGCACTCAGGACATGTGCAGGTCTGCCAAGAAACCGGTCCGTTGCATCTCAAGGCAGGATTTCACCTGGACTTTGCAATGCAGCACTTCCCAAACACATACTGTGACTTGGCATCTTCAGGGTCCTTAGCCAGACTACAGCCAGATCCACCCGCCGAGGCAGTACATCGGCATAGTGTTCGGACCCGCCCTGGTGTCTCATTGACTCATGCCAGGCTGCAGAGAAGTCTGGCATGCCTGGTCCTCCCAGGCAGTGCTCACCGGGACTTGCATCGTTCCCCGGAGAGCCGAAACTGAAAAGGCGCTCCATCCCTCGCGGAAACCCTGGAGCCAAAGTGAATGCCAAAGCCAAAGGTCTGGACTTGTGACGAGGGTGGAGCGACCTTTTTTTGCATGTCCTGTGCAGGATCTTGCCAGTCTCCGACACAGAGGTGCGGGCTAGTTCTGAGGCCCGGAGGGAAACTCGATTCTGCAGAATGTAGAGCTGCTGGTAACGATGGTCATCATGACTGTCAACTTTGGTGTCAGTAATTAGTCTTCTTCTCCGCTTTGCTTCTGGAGTTCCTTCGCCACAGGAGGCTCGCTGGCAAATCATGTTGGCCACAACTTTTCGGATGTGGGCAGGCCCTCCGCCTTAGTTCGCATGTGTATGTTTCTCAAGAGCAAGGTTAAAGCTGAGTTGGAACGATGTGGATGCCACGTTGTTTTTGTCAAGACTGCTGCATGCAGCCATGGCCGAGATAATGTCACATATCCCGACCAGGACATACGAGTCTTCGCGCTAGAGGTATGCGGGGCCGAATCCTATCTTGCAGAATCTTGAGGAAGTGGAGAAACGTCGGGTACTTAAATTAACAACGGGTTCTGAGAGTGGTCCGGCAACTTCTTGGAATTTCCCAAGACAATTAGAGCACCGCCAAAACATCAAGCATCATCGGCTTTTTCCTTAGACTGCGAGATTTCTGCATGTACAGTCCATAGACATGGACGGGCAGAACAAGATTCCGTGCTCGGAGAAACCAGCAGCAGTTCACAGCAGAGCCGTCTTGTGGCGGTCGAATCGTGTTGTCCAGGCCTTTCTGCCGATGCCTGTGACCTGCATCGCCTCGTGCGGGTCTTGTGCTGGCTTCGATCTTCTACGGTTCTCTGCATCTCTTCCGATTTCGGACCTTGTCTCATGGCAGATACAGCACCGTGCTGCTATGCGGAGACGTGGCGCCACCCTCTCGGGTCTGTTGCAAAAGGTGATGACAGTTAGTAGCCGTGTGCTTTGCCGCGTGCTTTGCCTTTTGCATCATGTTGCATCTCGGGTCGTACCTCAGCTGAAGATGCTCAAGGATCGGAGCATGAGTTCCAAGTGGATATGGCTTCTGGTGGCAGTTGCAAGGTCTGCAGCCGGCTGCCCTGAGGGCTTTAGGTCTTTCAATGAAAAATGTTACATCTTCACGGAGGAGAAGGGGAGCATGACGCAGTGCCAGGACCGGATATGCAGTGGTTTGGGTTCGACCTTGGCAGTGATCCATGACATCGACACGCAGTTCTTCTTGGTGAATCTCACACAGGAGTTTCAGGGACCGGCTTACGTAGGTCTTTTCGAGAGGGGTGTGAACGAAAGCGGTGATTGGACGTGGGTCGACGGGAGCAACTTCAGCTTCGAGCCGGATGCTAACGGGACGCAGTACCCTTTAGCCGGATGGGCCCTCTCCGAGCCTGACAACTGGTGCTTGGACGAGGATTGTGCTGCCTTGGGTGTTGAGTTCCTACCGAACTACTCGGCACGGGGCATACCCTGGCTCTCTTCTCTCTTTGCGCCGCTGAAGTCCAAGGGTCTCATTGACATCTCCTGCAACACGCAGCTCCATTGCCTATGCCAGGAGGGCCAGGAGGTCTCCGAGGACTTCCTAAACTGGGAGTTCAACAACTCCGCGTTGAACAATGAGAATAGCCTCCATGTGAACGCCACGTATCTCCAGAACTACATGACCTGTTTCTTCAAGCGGACTCGCTGCTGGTGGTACAACAATCAGAGCTTCCAAGGCTCTTTCCTCGGCCTGGGCTTCCTCTGCCTCGGCTGCCTCATCTACAGCATGACGGGCTGTCAAGAAGGCCTTCGTCCCCCCCAAAAAAGGGGCTCTCTCCCAACCCCCAAAAGACAAAACCTGCGCTAAGCTTTCAAAAACCCTAAACCCTAAACCCTAAACCCCTAAACCCTAAACCCTGAACCCTAAACCGTCTCCCTCTCTCTGAGAGGAGCGAAGCCGGCCGTGACGCTCGGTGAAGCGTCGGCTTCCTCGAACTATGGTCAGCTTCTGGAGGCTAGGTGCAAGATGGGACTTGCCGAAAATAAGGGGTACCTTATTTTGGGGTCCTTATAATAAGGATCCTACTATTTAGGGTACTATATTAGGGTCACCTGTTTTCGGAAACACCCAATGCGCGTAGAGAGTGCCGGAAGCGCCCCAGAAAAAGACGAATGTTGAGGCCTGTGACCGCCAGAACGAGGTGGATAGCATGGTGGACAGGCCTTCCCTGCATCTTGCGGCATTTTGCGGAAGAGGGGTTTGTTGAGCTGTTGTAAAGTTGCAGTCTGGTGCCGGCAGGTGGATTGTGAAAGGTTCCTGGGCATCCATGCTCTACGGGATCCTCCTGGTGGGCCTGTCGGTATCCACCGTCTGCCACGTGAACTTCGGCATCGGCTTCGGCTTTGGTGTCGATGGGCTTCTGGCCCTTGCCATGTGCGGAGCACAGGTGATCATCAGTGCAAGTGCTTGTATGGTGCAGAAGCATTTGTCGACGCCTTCCAGGATGGTCGTTGCATGGTGGGTGCTTGCTTTCGCCCTCGCGAAAGTCGGCATGGCCATCGGTGATCTCATTCTGGCGGTGATGTACGTGACAGAGACTTTGGGTGGGTTCGTGCGCGAGAATGCCAGCTTTTGCAGTGCTGGCTACCTTTTCTGCTGGATGCTTATGGTCTCCATGGTCTGCCAGAGCGTGGCAGGCATGGCGATAGCGCGGATTCACACTCGAGCAGCACAACATATGGGTGGGATTTCAAGCCTCACAAAGGTTATCGGTTGCTCGGGCTTGCTCTTCATCGTGGCCACCTTCGGGGCTGGCTTGGGGCTTGGCGTGTGCTGTGGGCTCTTCATCTTCGATGACTCTTCCGATGCAGTGGATCCGATGTTCGGCATCGCCTTTTCCTATTTCGCCACACCGGCTCGTTTCTTTGAGAGCCTTTGTTTCCCCCCAGATACGGATTCCCCCGGGCCATTCCTTGCCAGGCCGCCGCGCTCTTTCACTTCCTGGCCGGTGCCGGCAGCCTGCGCGCGAACACGCAGGTGAGGACACACTATCAACGGGGTGCACGGACCATCACCGAGATGCAGAATTTTTAGGGTGCGATCAGTGCAGTCTTCCCCTTCCGTTGTGGTTTGTATGCCCAGTCTGGACAGATGCAGCAAAGCTGCGCCCAGCTGCGAATCGCTCGACCAATCGCTGACCAATCGCTTAGCAAGACAGTATAAGCAGCAATGTGGTAGTGTATCGCGGTGTCACAGCTGAATTCATGTCCGATTCCCGTCTCGAGCTCAGGTCATGATGCTCGCCGGCAGGAGTCTTGTGCGCCCCGACGAAGTCAAAACCAGTGCCATATCATGCATGTGCGGCGACGTTCTGGTCATGCTTGCACTCTGCTTGCGCTCCTGGTATGCAGCCTTGTTTCGTACGCTTGTTTATGACATGGTCCATCGGCCGCTCAGGAGGGATGTTAGCAGCAAAAACATGCAGAGCCTCATGTGCATAGTCCACAGCAGTGCAGAGTCTTGTTGATGCCATGCGGAGGTGACGTGTAGGACATTCTGCCAGGAAGCGTGGGTTGCTTCTAGTGTGCATTTCGGATTGCTGGTCCCCGCATCTGCCGCCATGCAGGCGCCTCCCATACTTCTCGGGTTTGATATGCAGGCTTGCTTTGCATATGGATCTTAGGCCTGCGTTTCGATTCTGACTGGGGGTGAAGTCTCAGACCTTTGCTTCATGAAAGAGGTCCAGGCTCAGTGTGTCGTGCCCCAACCTGTCTCCAAGCTCCCTGCGCCAAGATGATGCATGAAGCCATGCCTCCTGGCGAGCACCCTCCACATCATCCGCCTTCGCAGGCCATGTGGTGAAACGGTAGAAGAACCGAATGGGGTTGCTGAACTGTGCAACGCCCCCGCATGTCATGGGTTGTTGGGAGGCACAGAGGCCTGCAAAGCGGCGACGGCTGAAGGGCCTCGATGCCAACAGTGGGGAGCCTCTTGCAGAGTTCATCTCCGAGTCTCTAAACTCTCTGCAACATGGAGGCCTGGAGAAGCTTCTTCGTGGGCTGCATCAATGTCTTAGGTGGCCGCTGGATGCGTACGGTGCTCATGGGCAGTGGGCTACCGATGAGGAGAATCGTCGACTCCTTGCCCGATGCTGCTGCCGGGCCAAACGGCAAGGAGGCACGGGTTGCTTGCACGGGGAAGGGTAGCATAATATAGATAATATAGTATAGTATACTTGTTCTATAATCTAACGGAGCTGTGGATGGTGTGTCGTGGAATGTGCGAGAAGGCACCCGTCCAAGCTCTAGAGGAGGACCGAGCCTTGCCTGCGTCATCTCCAAGAAAGTGGGGGCCCTGTGAGGAGTTCGAGCGCCACTGGAGGCTGCGCTTTGATGCCCGCGCCATGGGTGAGTCAGGCCGGGGAACCCAAAGCCTCGCCTCGTGTCAAGCGGCAATGAAGCTGGGGGAAGCTGGCAGGCACTGCCTCGTTCTTGCGGCGCTTCCCTTCCGTCCGAGGCGTAGTCTGAAATTGCAGCACGACTACACTGACTCAGCTAACTTCAGCCTTCGAGAAACTCCAAATTTTGTGTAGCCGTTTGTGCCGAGGTTTTCAAAGCCAGAAGCAATGGCGTCGAAGTGCTGGTCGCCCCTCAAGAGGTGCCGCTGTTCGTCGAGCACTTGCAGAGGGCATGCGAGATGCAACGGAGGACCCCAACTTCGATGACGCAGCCGCGGCCGGTTTGGAGCGTGCGGCGCCCGAAGACAAAAGCTTCCAGGCCAGACTGAGACTGAGACCCGTGCTGCTAAGCCCCAGTTGACAAAGTGCACACAACGTTCATCGCAGCATGGACTGTTCCAGGTAGATGGCTTCGCTGCCAGCTTCGGTGAACAGGCCCTACTTCTTGGAGGGAACGGGCAGAATCTGCATCTCATAATTCAGTTTCCAGGTGCTCCTTCTAGTCCCGACTGCAGAACAGTCGACCTTCTGCACGGGTCCTGATCATGAGCGACCCGATTTCCATGGATGTACCATCTGTATGAAAGCGTTCCGAGACATCAAACTGCCCATCACTGAAACCCTGAACTCAAGGGTCCGAAATCCTCAATGCCCTCCTGAAGGTGGCTTGGAAGCCTTTGTAAAACCCTGAATCCTGAATCCTAAACCCACCTATTCAGGCGGAAGGAAAAGAGCTGATAAAAAAAGAGTCCTAAACCCTAAACCCTAACCCTAAACCCTAAAACCCTGAATCCTGAATCCTAAACCCTAAACCCTAAACCCTAAACCCTAAACCTCCCCCAGCAAGCACCGGAGGATCGTGAGCTAGAACTGCTGGCGGCGGATGAGGCTGAAGCTCGTGAGGAACGACACATGGAACAGCAACGGCGTGACCGTGAGATGGAGGCCAACGAGGCGTATGAAGAACGGTGTCTACAAGCTCAAGCCGAGTTACAGCAAGCCCCGGAGTTGCATTCGAGACTGAATGCTGCGGAGTACAAGGCATGGGAAGACTGGGAATGGCACCAGATTATGCAGCGACCTGCATCCAAGAGACGGAGGGCAACGCTGCACCTGACAGTTGGCGGAGCCGGACATGAAGGACAACCGTGGACGTCAAGGACACTGTGCATCCCGTGTGGGCGGAAAGGAGAGCTGCCTACGGTGCGCCTTGACATGCAAGTGGTATGGGAAACATGCCCGGATGAAGTGGCAACAATTCGTTCTCCGAGCCCGCCAGCACAGGTCGATGCCGGAACTGGGGAAGGACGGGCACCGCCTCCTGGTCAGATGATGGACTCTCAGGACATGCTATGGAACTCGGAAGATGAGCATGAGTACCAAGCTCTGCGTCGCGCTGGACTGGTTCATCCGTCACCTGGAACAAAAGTGGAAGACGAGCAAGCCAAAGACGTGAACCAGCAGCTGCCAGAGCCGGATCAGCCTACAAATACCTGTTCTGGTGCTGAGCAGTCGTGTACACCGTCCCAGTTGCAGCCAACTCTCGAGGGCAATGTGGGATGCCAAGGCCTGGAGTTCCCGGAGTACGAGCACATCTTTGGCCAGTGGAAAGAGGGCAAGCTCACCGGAGCACAGGTCGTGGAACAGTGGGGGTCGGACTTGCTTGAACTCATGGAAACGCAGCTTCTGATGGAAGCAGATTCGGGAGAGGAGGCAACGGATGTGTGGTTTGGCCCTACCACGACGTCAACGAGTACTATGACGGCGGTGTCTTCCGTGGTGGCCGTGGTCCCGGGAGGCTTCATGGTGGAACATGACTTCATACAACAGCTCGTTGAGGCGGACCCCGACGGCATGATCGACTGGGCCCTTGATGGGATCGACTCCGAGAATGACTAAGGGTTTATGCGCAAGGGCTACAAGACACTGAGTGAGGAGTTTCGAAAAAGGGGATGTTGCTTTACCGTGTTTTGGTGGAACTCTAGCGATAAGTGCGGTTCCATGGACAGCTCTCCTCCAAGAGGATTCTGGAGCTCAGACTTGAGCAGACGGAAAAGGGCCCTTAAAATAAAAAAAAACCCTAAAACCCTGAATCCTAAACCCAGAATTTGCTTCAGCTTTGGCCAGGTCATCGCTGCGCTGGCGAACCTGGTGGCCGAGGCCACTCTCTCAAGTGTCTGCGTACTCATGTGTGTGTACGTGTGTGTACGTAAAAAAATATATATATATATATATTATATATATATATATATTTATTATATATATGTACATACTTATCTATATATGTATACATACACACACATATACATCTATCTATCTGTCTACCTATTTATCTATCTATCTATTTGTCTATCTGTCTGTCTGTCTGTCTGTCTGTCTGTGTAATTCTGCTGTACATGC